TTTTATGTAGATACCTTATTTTAAGAGTAAAAATACTACTTCCATTGGCAAATCATCTTATTTACCTGCTCAAATTAAGGGTAAATACCCTTAATTTAAGACATTTTTACTCCTTTTGCGATCATTTCTGCAGTGTATATACACTGCAATAAATCTTGATAAGTCATTTTTTCTTAAAATAAGTGCATTTGTTCTTGAATTGAGGAGACAAAAGATACATCTTGCCAATGGAACAAGACAATTTAAATTTAAAATAGGAAAACACAAATGCATTGTCTTATTTCAAGTAAATATTATCTAATTATCTTATTTTAAGAGTAATAATACTGATTCCATTGGCAAACTATCTACTCAAATCAAGGGTACAGTAAATATACTTAATTTAAGACATTTTCACTTCTTTCTAGATTCTTTTTCTAGTGTAGATGTTGGAGATTGGCCTGTTTTTCAGTGTAGTCCTGTTTCTCTGACTGTGACTAACTGGATATGGCGGCTGCAGTGGGTCAAAATTCAGAGACATTTTCGAGGAGTGGAGGCCTAGTGGTTAGGGCGTAGATGTTGCTATCATGAGGTTGTGAGTTCAAAACCCACTCTGGATGTCTAAGCAAGACCCTTAACCCCCGATTTCTCCCCAGGCGCCCCACGATGGCAGCCCACTGTTCCCCAAGGGGATGGGTTAAATGCAGAGAGTGAATTTCGTTGCTCTGTACGTGTGACCATGTAATGACAAAAAAAAACGAGGAGGGTTGACAAAATGTTATGAAAGGGACACAAACTAAAATTAAGCACATTCTCTCTTAATTTTAAATGAGGTTTAATTAGTTTTATTTTCAATTTAGTACCTTAAACAGTTTTTTTTAATTCTAGTTTTCATGATTTTCGGTAGTTTTAGTTAACGTTAATAACCTCGGTTGGTACTCATCCCGCTTCCTGAAACGTGGTGTTTTATTGTCTGGTTCTCTTCACCGTTTTCAGTCCCACTCTTTGGTTCTCAGGATGGGAGTCTGCCGTTTGCTCGGAGCATCAAAGACGTCCATTCAGAGTTCCGTTTGTTGGGGAAATTAACCGAGCTCCTAACGAAGCAAGGAGAGCAGGAGGAAGCTCTGCAGTACGCCACACTGGCTGTTGAAATAGCTAACCAAACAGGTAAGCATTGCTTTTTGTCCGTATTACCCCAAATACACAAACAGATAAAGACCAAAGCCTTATTTCCACCTGCAGGAGTTCGTGAAAATGAGAGGACAGCATATCATCGCTTGGCCACTATTTATTACAACCTGCAGCAGTATGAGATGGCAGAAAACTACTACCTGAAGTCCCTGTCCCTGTGTCCACCTACTCTGCAGAATCCTGCAGAAGCGCAGTATTACACTAAAGTCTACTGCAGGCTGGGGAACCTGACGCTACACGAACTCAAGGTACCGCAGGGGATGTAAGGGAGCCAAACAGACCTGGAAATTATTCCCGGTTAAATCGGAGCAGTTTGGGATCTTTATTGGCTCAAACTTCAGATTAGACTTTCAGTTTAAACCCAGCTTCATGTTCCTGTTGACCTGTGATGCTGATGAAGGATTAGCACCAGTGTCCTCAAGGAAATATTTGGTAATTTATGCTAAGAATCCTTTGGATTGGATAATTACATTTTTTTCTCTAGCTTTCTGTCACCTGTTGCCATCTTCTATTTGTTGTTTTATATGATAGACTGACATACAGTTAACCTGACTCCGCATTTGCTCCGCATATCCAT